AATAAGATTTTTTATATATTCTACAATTTTACCATTGTAAAAAAGTCAAATGTATCTTTTCTTTATTTTTCTATTAAAATACAATTTTACGCAAATTAAGTAGATAAAGTAATTTTGATTTAAATCACAATATGTAAACACAGCAAGACTGACAAATTGGATGAGCACTCATTAATGCCACCTGACAGATTAAAACAAAAGAAGATAAGGGTTTAATTAATGGATAATTGTGGTGGATTAACTTAAGTGTACCTAATACAAAAAAAATAATATTTTTTTCCCATTAAAATTATAAATATCGAAGATAATTTTTTTATATATAGGTATAGCTTACCCTGCACAGCTCATTACTCAATAGCAAACTCCAATATAAAAATTCTACCTCCCCCTCACCCCACCAATTGGCCTTCTCATAAAAACAGACGTCCAGATATTCTTGATATCTTTATCACAAAAATACCAAACAATTGCATTACCACGGTCACCAATACTAAACCTTTCATCTGATCACTCACCTGTTATACTTGAGTTTGTAATATCCTCTGCGAATCCTCCCGCAAATCTCCAAGCTCCCGGAATAATACACTGGCCTACTTTTCAAAAACTCATTGAAATTCGTACTTTACTCAACTCATTCTTAAAGTCAAGCGATGATATTAATGATACAATTCAAAACCTCGCGATAGATATTTAAGAATGCACGCACTTGGCAACATTTCATAGTCCAACMCATCCCAAAAAATACCCACTTCTGAATCACATAAAATTTCTTCTCCAAGAAAAACAAAAAGCTAGGTTCCGGTGGCAAAGACACAAATACCCCATCGATAAACAATTCTTCAACCAACTAAACAACAAACTAAGAAAAATCGCTCATACAACACAGATCTAGCACTTATCAAAAATACATACAGACCTTAACATTCGTTAACAACTAAACACTCTTCTCTCTGGAAAGCGACAAAAAAATTCTGAAAACCGTCTCAACTCCCTCTCCTCTTCGGAAAGAAGATAACACATGGGTTGTTTCTGATACCGATAAAGCAAACCTAATCGGCCATCATCTATCCAAAACCTTCACACTACACGACATAAACCTAACCACACCCAAAACCAAATCCACCTAAAAACACAATCATTGAACTCTACATTACCCATGTCACACCCAGCTAAGCACACTAGTCCAGGTGAAATCGAGTTTATTATCAAAACACTTCACAACAAAAAAGCTCCCGGGTACGACCGGATCACAAATCTCACCGCTAAAAACCTACCAAAAAAGTGATTATACTACTTTCGTATATCTACAAAGCAATTTTGCGTTTATCTTATTACCCCCTAACCTGGAAATTTTCCGAAATTATACTAATTCCAAAACCCAACAAGCCTCCAGAAAAAGTTATCTCATATCGACCCATAACCTTATTACCAACTCTATCAAAAGTATTCGAAAAGATCTTATTAAAAAGGCTCATTCCTCTGGCTATCATAGCAAACATAATCCCAGATACATAATACGATTTCAGACCAAACCACTCAACGATCCATCAACTCCACAGAGTAGTATACACTATATCTTMATAATTGGAAAAAAACATTACTGTGCTGCCGTCTTCCTGGACGTAGTACAAGCGTTCGACAGTCTGGTTTGAAGGCTTACTGTTCAAACTAAAAAAAATTCTGCCTGCGTCTCATTACTTACTTATAAGTGGCCGTAATTTCATCGTACGATAAACCTCATGCTACTCAAACTACTTTGACATTATTGCGGGAGTGATATTGTCCCTTTTCTATATAATATATTCACTCACGACATTCCTAAAACCTCCTAAAACATATGACATTCCTAAAACTGAACTTGGTTCCTTCGTGGATGACGGTACCGCGAAAAAATAACCCCGGAAAAAATAACCTCATAACATGAGTTTTTGTAAATTAATCTCAAATCAATACAAAATGTATAAAATTAAAAATACCTATTTTCCTATTACCTACGTTGTATTACAAATTTATACTTTATTACCAAATTATTATATTTTAGAAATTGACTAATTGTATTGTATTCCATTTATGATGAGAATTTTTTATTTATATATTATTGACATTGTTATTAGAAATTTATACTTTATTACTTACAAATCATTTTTATTATAGGTTATTTTTTCGCAGGTTTTTTTTCGGGGTTATTTATTAGGCAAATCGTGGATGACACGGCAATTAAAGCAACCAATGTAAATCTCATTATAGCCTCAAATATGATACAAAAACACCTCAATATTAATTATTTTACACATTTGGACAAAGAGGTGGGAAATCAAAATTAACGAACCCAAGTCCTCCTTCATAACATTTACCTTAAATAAAAAAACATGTCCTCAAATTTCAATGAACAACATCTCAATCCCCAATTGCACACAAGTAAATACCTTGGTCTTACTCTTGACAGTAAACTAATCTGGAATCCTCACATAGTCGATAAACCGGATAAACTAAAAGCCCTTAATTCCCGTCTATACTTCCTAAGACTATTATTGAGATCTAAAATGAACATGGACACCAAATTACTAATTTACAAGTCTTTACTCAAGCCGCTATGATGGACATACGGCATCCAATTATGGGGAGCCGCAAAATACTCCAACACCAGAACAAATGCAAGGTTTCCAGTCCACCTGTCTCCGTCTAGTTTCTTCTGCTTCTTGGTATATAACAAACTCTAACCTCCGCAAAGATTTAAAAATACAAACCCTAAATCAAATCTCTAAAACAAACTACATCAGATTTCATAATAAACACCAATCACACACTAATCCATTAATCAAAAAATTATCATTTAAAACACTACCCGACAATCCTCGGCGAAGTCTAAAAAGAAAATGGTGTASGGATTTTTTACATTAATAATCATTAGTTAATAACTATTAACTAACGCACGTGCTGGGCGTTATCAATGGATAACTTCCCAACCTTAACATTTGACGTCAATTTTATATTATCTACTTTTTTTATCAAATCTAATTATTGTACAGTAAATTGTATAGATTGTAAAATGTATTTTAAAATAAAAAAATATATATATATATATATATAGCTAAAAAATTAAAAGATTCATTTTTTCTTATACAYTTGTTAATTTAAGATGGCACATGTTTTATTATATTATCGTAATATCGTTGGAAATTGTTTGCTATTGGGGATACTATACTATTAATAAATAAATAAAGCAACTATTAATAAATAATATTATGTAATGTATCAGCATAGGCGCAAATATGGGGGGGCTTAAGGGGTATATAATTAGCACCCCCAATTTTAAAATTAGCACCCTCAAATAATTATCGTGCTTATGTATCAAAATCTTCAATCAAAAAAAAAAAAAAAACTAAAATGACAAAATGACAAAATGCATAGGATAAGCACCTTTAATTTTTTTATTGAAATAGTGCCTATGTGTATCAGAAAAAGATTATGATTAAATGAAAATACTTATATTGTATAGATATAAATATTTTAAACATTAATATGTTACTTAGATCAGTAGTTCTCAACCTTTTTTGATTSATGTCACCTTTAGCCACTAGAATCAAACACTGCGTCACACTAACATCAAAATAATAAACAATCTTAGCTGTATATTTATTACTAGGTACACGTGTTTATCGGACCAAAAGATTAAATATAAATAATACAAACTATTATAAAGATACGAACTTTGAGGTATGTTATGTACATGACAGTGGTGGTATAGGTGTATAATATATTTATTATAAGAAATTATATGACTGTTTTCGGAAAAATTAATTTTTTCTTCTTTTCTTGTTAAAATTCTGCGTCACCCCTAAGCTAGGTCCATGTCACCCCTAACCTAGGTCCATGTCACCCCGGTTGAGAACTACTGCTTAGATAGTACATATTAATATTAGTTTTTACCTAAAAGGACACCACACTCGCAAAAGTTGACTCAATCTAGCAAACATACAACAAAGCAAATTTTACCTTAACAATAATCTATTTTATTGTTACCTTTAAAACTAGAGTGAATTGAACCATGGTACAGTTTAAAGGTAATAATATTATCTAGACCAGGGATGGCCAACCCAAATGATCTTGCGGGCCACTTTATAAATACATAAAAATCCTGCGGGCCACATATAGGATTTCCGAAAAAAAAAAAAGTCATCAGCTAAAATATTAATAAAATCACATATATTTAATTTATATAAAAGTATTTAATACAAAAAAAAATGGAGTATACATTACTATTTAGTGAGATACTTGTTTCTCAACTCGTTCACTAAGCTTTTTTTTATTTTAAAAATACAATTTGCTATAAGCTAGTGTCTACTCGTATATATTTTTATCAGATTAGATTAGAATTATTAGTGTTTATATGATTTTTTTTTGTAAATACATATTTGATAAATTTCACGGGCCGCAAAACTTTCCAAGGCGGGCCGCGGGTTGGCCATCCCTGATCTAGAGAATCTCAGAGGATTTAATTAGCATTTTTAAGAAGCAAGTTATGAATTTTTTTTGTACATTTAAATGATCATAGCTTGATTAAAATTAATATTGATAGTCTAATGAAATTCAGATAGTCAAATTAAAACGTAGTTATAATGTATCTAAAATTAATAAAAACACAGTTATATACATATAAATTATATATGAATCTGTGTTTATAAGAAATAAGTAATACAAATCAAGTMTTATTTAAAATTATACTATACACACAAATACATGTGTAGTACAATTATTTAAGGTTGCCATAATGTCAGTGTTGGTTTACTTATATAATAAAATAATGTAATCAATAATATAACTGCAAATAATGGTTTTTAAAACTAGGTATTAATTTTTACTCAAATTAAAAAAACAATAAATTCATCCATACTTATTTATATCTTTTTATTTTTAAAATATGATAAATTAATATTTAATTTACAAAATATAATAACTATTATAAGTAATGTACATCACTAAAAAAAAAAATTGGTAGGTACATGGCATTTGTATATTTTAATATTTATTGCATACAATTACTTAATGATAACTTTCAGGGTATATTGATACATCAATTTCATTTTTATTTTGTAATTCCATACTATATAACTGTACTAGGGATACGTATGGATATTATAATTTTGTTCAAGTTCAAAATTAACAAGTTAGATTGATTTATTATCTGTATTTAATTGGCCCTCTGATAATACTTCACATTTAATTTCATTATTTATTTCTGTATCTTCTTCTAAATAATCCATACAAAATAGTGGATATTCTGATGTATCTATACCATTCATCAATAATTGCTCTTCTGCTTCAAGAACTTTTTCTTTAAGTGTTAAATATTTTATTTTAATATCTTGTAAAGTAAGTTCATCATTTGTCAAACTTCTAATTTTTGCAATTAATTGTCTATTAATTTGCTCTAGTGTTCTTATTTTTTTCTGAAATTTCACAGAAACACTGTGTTTGAACTGAACTTTAGTTCGACTATTGACCAAAGCTGGTACTGTGTTAGTTTTGGTTTTTTTTCTTTGTATAGTATTTTTCCTCAACATATTTATTTTATTGATATGTGTATAAGTATTATTAGACATACTGAATTATAAATCAATATTAATAGACTTTAACTGAGCTTATTTAGTTATTATATGCGTTAATTGATAAATAAATTTTTGGTTGCTTCAATGTAAATCTGGGTACATTTAATATTAAATTTAGTTATGTGATATTGTGTATTATTTACACTTTCATAAGAAAGAATTACTTATAAGTAGGTTAAATTACTTTTGATTAAATCATCAGAATCACTATTTTCACTAAATATATCATGAAAATATTGCTGGTATTTTAATTGCTCTTATTTATCATCATAGTTCAAATTTTATTATTAGTATACAGTTTAAAATAATTCAATTCTACATTAATATGTTTATGTATACAATAATTTAGCTATTATAAACTACCTGGAGATATATTGTCCTCAAAAACATTTATAAAGTGGTGTTTAATGTAGCCTTTAAATGATCGCTAATTGATTGAATTTTAAAATTCCATCTTCCATAAARATCCTTTTGTAAAATGAGCATTAGATATTAGTGATTGCTCATTTGGTAAAATTCTTCTGTAATTATATTCCAATGCAGTTATCCAGCGTTTCAGTAATGGTATGATTTGAAATGGAAACCTTAAAAAATGAATATAATAGGTAAACAAAATTATTATAAAATAGAAGTATACACTACAATATTGTATTTATTTATACATAAAAATTTTGAAAAATTAATTCTCCTTTAAATTTTACTGAACTAACACAAGTACATAAAATCAATCAACTCATTGAAACAATCACCACAGTGATTGCACTGGGCTCTTCCTACACTCTGTTCTAAAAGAGAATAATCAATTTTTGCACATCCCAAATGATTTGATTGAGTAGTTGAGAACCATGACTAAAATAATAAGTACCTATGATCACAACTTTGTGATACGTATACCATTCTTGCCTCATATATCACGAGGTTCATTGCTTTTATTATATTTTAATAACATTGCTGAACAATGAAATGCGGAGAACTACGAGCAATGGTGTCGTGTATAGAATAGTGGGAATTAACGCAAATCGGACAAAAATAGTTTTTTTGTAACCATACCTATTTGTTTAGTCATGTTGAGAACCATGTGATCACAGAAGTTGGTGGGATATGTACACTACTGACAAGAAATGGTCGGAAGACTGATTCGTAGGACCGAGTATAAATAATGTTTACATACATTTGACTGAGTATGTTTTCAAATTAAAAAATTCATGACAGCACAACTATTTTTTATTCTTAAATAATTCTTAGAAAATAGAAGATTTACTGTTATAAAATACAACTCTTTTTCAACTCTACACACAATCAATGGCCAATTCTGAAGTTCCCTAAGGTAGTGATTTAGCATCAGACCTTTAAAACATCTAGATACTTTTTAATTTTCTAATACTTGTCGATAATCCAGCCATATTTTCCACAAAATGTTTTTACTACAGCTACAAACCCATAGGCACAACTAGGTGGGTGCTTGGGAGAGCTTTAGCACCCCTAGCCATTAATTTAGCACCCCAGATCAAAAATACCCCCCCCCAGTGTTTGGCCTCTAGTTGCACCTATATAACAAACCATTTACATATCAAGAGGTGTCAAACATCCAGTTTTCAGTACACAGCACTTTTTTACAGGAATTATTTTAATATTATGATAGAGTATATATAAATATGTAAATGAAAATAAATCAAGATTCAACAATTCATATCCATGCAGATAAGACATGAAAACTGAATACTTACGAAGTTTCACGACTGTTGGTAAGCTTTGGGTCATAGGTGACTCTTGACTAATAAAATTTCGGGCCTCGAGAAATTAGGAAGTGACTACTGACTAGTGAATTCAGTCAATTCAGAACACTGAGAACAGCAAGTAGTGTGAACTAATAACTAAAGAATATTAGAAACTAGCTTTTTCAATACACACCATGTATTAGATGATACACATTACACAAATACACAATAAATAAAATAGTATTATAATATAATAGATAATATATTATCAAACGCTATTATAAACAGTAAACACGTTTATAGTACTGGTTACCTAATTTACAAAATAAAGTCTTGTGCAGTAAGTTGTGCAACGTTTGTTCTTTGGTGCAACCACGATGTAGATAAAACGGTGTAGTCACTCGAGCTCAAAAGTGAGTCCATATCTGACGGCACTTTGGTTTGCGCGCCTTCCGCCAGGTAGCGCTAAAAAGGCCGATCAACAACCGGCTGCTATAGAGAAGGCCGTATTATAATGCCGTTTTGCGTATTATCCACGGTAAAGTTTTAAAA